TTTAAATAGATGTCACTGTTGAAATCGAGATCCAAACTCAGGGCAGTATGTGCTCTATAACTGGAGTGACCATATGGCCCAGTTTGCCAGGACTGTCCTAATTTACACCTGTTATTCCCACACCCACCCATTTATCTCATAATCTTCATTTTTTAACATTCTTATGAATAACTGCATTAAAGTAACATAGGATGGGTCTGTTACACTTTCACTGTATACTTCCACCTTCTGCCATGGTTTTGTCTAGTTCTGTGGAGTACAGGTGCAATGAACACAGAGTTCTCACTTCTAACGTTAGGTTCAATCTGAAAGCCAACCACTGATATACCATTTCTTTTTCCACATCCTTTCCTAATAAAATGAAGTACACTTGGACAGGGGCATCTAAGGGTAGCTAACTCTATCCAGTCTTGAGTGCCACAGCCATTGCTCAGCTTGCAAGATGCACCAAACCTCTAGGCCACCATCATCTGGGTCAGTGGGAAATGTGAATAAGGTATCTGTAAAGTATATGCAGGAAAGAGATGTTGTGTGTTCCTCTGCATGATGGCCAGAGAGAGTAATTTGAACATTCTTGCTACAGGAGTTTTGCCATTTATTTACTATATTGTATAAAACCAAATTTTTTTATTTTGTTTGGTAATATTTGATTTTACAGCAATTACAATTTATTTTTAGCAATTCCTTTTATGTTTAAGTACCCCAGTTTAGACAAAGAATATAAGGTCACACTATAACTATAACCAAACACCTCACTCCCTATCACGTTATAAGGTACTATATCAGGGAACGTACGGACATAACTATATAAACCATCTCCTTGGTCCTCAAAACATGGCAAGGGTCCACCACTAGAAAACCAACTAATACCACATTGCTACTATAGTAAAGCTATTTTTTTTTAAACCACTGTGATTCTTAAGCAAATTCAGAAACGTCTCTATTCCACAATAAGCATGAGAAAAGTATTCTACACAACTCAGAATTATACATGCTATACAAAGATTCAAATTCCCATGAAACGATTACTTTTCTGTTGATTCACAAAGCGCTTCAGAATTATGTTTTATCCCTGAGGACTTCATTCATTTTGAGCATCTAAACAGAGTCCAGGTTAGAAGGAAACATGAAAACATTGTAAGCACCATAACAGAGGTAAATTTTATTCTTCTGGATAGCAAATAAGTATTCATTACGTTAAACAGCATCCTTTGGAATAGGAATCATTAAATAGCCTTTTAAAAGTATCAAATACATTTGAACAAGTATAGGACAAGTCTACATTTGGCCCAGCTAAGGACAAGGCTATGTGAAGTTCCTGGAGGAATTTCAAAACCTTCCAAGTCTAAGAACAGGAAACAATAAAAACTATTCCTTTTGTCTGTAACAGCTCTTTCATTCTAGATGAAGATTTTTTTTTAAGGGGGGGAGACAGAAAGAGAGGGAGGTAGGAGTGAAGGAGAAAGAGAGAGAGAGAGAGAATCTTAAGCAGGCTCCACCCCCAGCACAGAGCCCAATGTGAGTTCAATCTCACAACCCTGGTATCATGACCTGAACCAAAACAAGAGTCAGACGCTTAACCAACCTAGCCCTAGATGAATATCTTATTATCTGGACAAAATGTGAAGCAGGAAAAAAAAAATCTTTGACCTTTAAAAAAATGTTCTATAGAGTTATCATAAAAGGACAGTTGTTTCATACTCAATGCAACCCAGGAAAAAAATCTTGTTATCTTTCAACCTGATTCAAAAACTTAAATTTAAAGGGGCACCTGGGTGGCTCAGTTGGTTAAGCATCTGCCTTCGGCTCAGGTCATGATCCCAGAATCCTGGGATCCAGCCCTGCCCCTCACCCCATTCATGTTCTCTCTTACTCTCTCTGTCTTTCCCAATAAATAAAATCTTTTAAAAAAATAAAATTTGGCTTGTTTTATTAAAAAAAACCTTAATTTCTTTTTTTAAAAGATTTTATTTATTTGACAGAGAGAGACAGCAAGAGAGGGAACACAAGCAGGGGGAGTGGGAGAGGGAGAAACAGGCTTCCCGCTGAGCAGGGAGCCCGATGCGGGGCTCGATCCCAGAACCCTGGGACCATGACCTGAGCTGAAGGCAGACGTTTAACGACAGAGCCACCCAGGTGTCCCCCAAAAAACCTTAAATTTAAAAATGCCAAATTTAAAATTTTAACAGTAGAGGTCATTAAAGATTCTATATCACAACCAATTTATAAAACACCTTTAATTCAAATATGATTTACCCTAGTCAACATCTCAGTAAAGGTGATGCAGCAGGTCCCACTTCTGCTCCAACCAAGAATCTGAGGGGTTAGATAAGGCCAAAAAGTGGGAAATTTCACAAGTAGCCCAAAGAACAATATTCTGATAATCCTGCCTTAATAAAACAGAAAATAGTTACTATGTCTGATACTCGACCTACATACTATTCATATATAACACTGAGTAGCGGTAAAAAATGTTTTTAAATAAACCATAAGATCTTAACTTCTTAGTAACATTATATAAACTCCTTAACTAAGAAAACAATAACCTTTGCTTTGGATAATCAGCCCAAATGTTTTTATAGATGTTAGGTCTCCCCCTAATTTCTATCATGCAAAAATGTCATTTTAGAAAATCCTGATACTAATTGAAATGTACCAGAACAGGGATCAAAATCAGCTCTTTCCTCCCACTTTAATTTATGAACCAGGATTTACACGTAACTGTCAAGAGTCACAATAGATGTAACAAAGTAAGCTTGGGTACAGCACTTGTATTTCACTCCAGAGGGAAGGGTGGTTCAGAGGTAAACTATGGAAAAGAGATGCCTACTCAGATTTCCAGGTGGACCTCTTAGAAATATCTTATTTCACCTAATTTATTATGCATATTATCCCAAGTTTACACATCTCTTTACTTGAAATGTTTATGATCAATGACATACCACCATTTAACTTTAGGGAGTTTTTTCCTCCTTAAGAGTACATGAAATAATAACAGATTTGATGAAATATGTTATTTCTCTGATGGCTCCTCCTGAAAGTGCTTCCAATTCAGTTCACATGTAATTGTTACTCCAAACACACACACACACACACACACACAAACACACATCCTTGAGTATGCTATAAAACATAAAGGACCTTGAAATAAAATTAATCAGCAATTCACTTAAGGCTCAAATATATCAAAAATATATCAAATTGATCGAGACTCTCCTTAAAATGCAAGTTAAACAAAACAAAAATATCAACTAGGAAAAAAAAATTTGTTCTATACACCTGAGACAAATTTGGAAACTGAGTCTTGAACCTTCTGCTGCCAGTTAATTTTGTGAAAATACTCTTTTCAAATCACCAAATATCTTTCAAAGTCTGAAATTAGGTTTGAGTCCTCCTATTAGTGGTCATTTCCCCTACCCGCACAAAGATAAGTTGTAAGTCTCAAAACAGAAAAATGCTTTGCAAGTGAGCTAATGTACGGAAAAAAGCTGTACAATGAGGTTTACATTAGCTTCTGAGGTCAAAAACTCCAAGTTCGACTGTCTTCATTCCCCTTTATAGTCCCGAGAAAAGAGTTTCACGTAGTCTACGCATTAGATTTCTCGGTTTAAAAGAACGTATCGCTTACCTTATCATCTTTCCTCATTTGTTCAACAAATAGTTTTTCAATGTTTAGGAGGTACTAGGCAATCATGAGTAGGAGAGGACCTACTACTACTACGTGACACTTAGACACCACCTTTGAAAGAGAATACCACCTGCATGAGGCACTCCTATCTGACTTAGAACACCAATTCCCAGCTGACTTTTAAAATCCCACACACATGAATAAAATTTAATGAAGTAATTTCTTAAAGCCAGGCTCTAAACAGTGTATAGGAGATACATCTTGCTCAAGTTAATCGCCAATTCAAAACTATGCATTTTATCGCTGACAAAAGCGACTTTGTGAGGGTCTGAAAACTCCAAGCCAACGAAAATTTTAATACAGAAGTGAAAGCGAAGGTGCTCAATTCAGAAGCGAGACGAAAGAGGAGGGTCTAAAGAAAAAAGTGAGTTGGAGGCGACGAGAAGCGCAGCGGCGACCCAAACGTGCTCTCCCCACATCAAGTTAGCAACTTCTCCAACACCCCGGGACTCCCCACTTCCCCAGCCCTTGGACGCTGTGGCCGCGGCTCGCGTCCGGGAGAGTGCTTCCCACCGCGGGGAGCGGATCCACCGCAAACGTGCAAAAGCAGCAGCCAGCGACTAGGGGCGGGGTTAGACCCACGCTCCAGCCCTCGGAGAAGGATGGGGGGGAGGGCAGCGGAGCGAGCGACCCTCGGGTCACCGGCACTGACCCGGGACTGACCGGGGGAAGGGGGGTGGGGAGGAAGGAGGACTGCAATCACGCGGCCTCGCGGAGGGCCGGCCTCGCCGCCGCGGACCCCAAGGCCGGCGTTGGGGAACGGGGAGGGCCTCACCGAGGGCAGGCGGGAAATGGGGAGGCGGGAAGACTAGAGGCCAGCACAGCTTGAACGCCGCACACGAGGCCCCGATCCTGCCTTGCCTTCCGCGGGTCCCAGGAGGTCCACAAAAGGCCCCCAGCCTCCCGAAGGGACGGGGGTTGAGGGCTGAGGAAGCAAACACACACACCCGCTTGCCTCCCTACCTCCACCCTCCGGCCGCGCTCCTCGGGCTCCGAGCCCCACAGCGGAGCCGGGGAGGCGAGGGCCAGCGGCGTGGCCGCGGGGAGCTGACGCCCTCCCCGACGCCCGGAGACCGGCGGGCGCAGAAACCCCGACACGAAGACAAAAATCAACAAAGCACCTGCCGCTCCCGAGGCAAAAACATGCCACAGGCCCCGACCGGGGACTCTCCGACGCACAGCTGCCCGGGCCGCAGGGCTGCGCAGACGGGCTTGGGGCGGGGGGGGGGGGGTCGAGCGGTGGTTCCCTGGCCCCGGAGCCTCGCCTATGCCCGGAGGCGACGAGGCAGGGAGCCCCACGCCAAAGACTGACCTTGGAGTCTCCGTTGCAAAGAGCCATCGGGGCCGGGGCCGCGGAGCGGTGGCCACAGTATGAGACGGGGCGGGAGGGCCGGCGGGGTCGACGCAGCGGGCTGGGCTTGAGGAGGAGGCCTGGTCTAGAAGCGCGCGGGCGCGGAGAGGAGCTGGCCGACTGCGAGGCGCCGAATCTAGCAGCAACCACGGAGCGCGGGCCCCAGCGCCGCGGGAGAGGAGACCAGCAGCGCGCACGCTGCCCCCGCCTCCTGCTTCCGCCCCGGCCGGCCACTGGGAGGAGCCAGAGCCCGTTCGGCTAGGCAGCCAAACCGCGGACACCCGGCAGCTGCCGCCGCCACCAAATAAGCCCGCCTCGAGAGGAGGGGCCTTCGGGGCCCGGCCCGCCCCCAGGTCCGTTCCCGCCGCCCAGGTCCGCCTCCGGGAAAAGAAACCCGCAGCTTCTCCGGCCCGCGGGTCCACGGGAAGAAAGGCCTGCGGCGCCCGGCCCCGCCTCCGCCGCCAAAGTCCGCCCCCCAGTAGGAACCTGACCCGCCTCCGCCCCCTCTGGTCCGCCCTTGGGGGGAGGAGCCCGCAACTAACAGCCCGGCTCCCGTCCCGCCCCCGCACCGGGCCACCGGCCCCGGGAGGAGGAAGAGCCCGAGGCGGTCGGCCTCTCCTCGCCGTGAAGGCCCACCTCTGAGAAAAACCCGAGCCTCCAAGAGCTGGCAATAGGCTTGCCGGCCGGCGGCCTTTGACCACTGTGAGAGGCTGGGGGAGCGGAGTAGGAAGTGTCCGGAGAGCTGGGTCCTAGCCATTGTCGCCGCCTCATGTCAGGTTGTGGGACACGGGGTCAGCCAAGGCTACTGTGAAGAGTTTCGTCGTGACATCTTAAGGGACGTCAAAGTGAGATTTGATCACATAGGTCCGCAAAAGTTCTACAGCGGGTACAGAATTTCCGTAAGGAGGTTTGGGAGCGGCAATCTGGTGGGATGCTAGGCCAGGGCACTGGCCATGAAGCTCTGTTTGCACAGCACCCTATGTTTTTATTTAGATGGTTTGTGGGGAAGGGGCTACAGTTCTTCCAGCTACCCCTTGACAACCGGCAAGATGAGGTATTACTTTGGTGACCTGGGAACCTAAATCGCGGTTGGAGAAAAAATAACACTTGGAACAGCTTCCAGATTCACAAAGCCTTTTAACAAATATTCAGTTACTACGAAACAGCCATTTGCTGAGCTCATGCTATGTGTCAGGCTCCAGGTATTAAGGAGCCAGAGTAAGACAACCCTGACTTACAAAAACTCATTTTATTCTAAGCTATTTCACGAAAGTAGTGAGGTAGGATCTATGTTCTTATCCATTTTTTACTAATAAAGAAAATTGAGGCTCAGTGAGGTAATGTGCCTCTCTGCCTCCCGGAATAGGAGGTAGGGGGTACCTGATCTGGGAAATGATAGTTTATTACTATCGGGGACAAAAGGCCCAAAATCCTAGCGGACCCCTGAGTCAATGAAAATATTTCACTTACCCTTTTTGGGGTTGAAAAACGGATACTTGAACTTTCTAAAGCCATGGATATTGTGCTCTCTTCGTAGGTCTGGATGAGAAATCAAGAGAACAGTGTAGTAACCAATAGGAGAGTCTCAGCTTACATCATTATCCACTCAGAATGAAATGGAATGGAATGTGACGTGCCGGCGTTAGGATTGGCTAAAGCCCATCTATACTAGATAATACCTATATTAAATATATTCTAGTGGTCACCTGTGCCTATGGCTAAGGTACCAGGATCCTTGTATCTAAAGTTCTGCCAGTTTTTACTCTATTGACCCCTCCCTCACTCTTGAAACTGGATTTCTCTTACAGTCTATCATAGAGGTGTCTTTTCACCTGTAAGATTGTTCTTGGTCTTTTTTTTTCCTACGATAGTTGACACTGTGTCAGTCACTTTTTCTTGCCGCTCTTTCTGAATCTATCCTACAGGAGGAAGCTTAAGTGTTGCTTTTCTTCAGTATTTCCGTTCCCTACCCTCTTCTCGTCTTACTCTTCACCTGTGTTTCTTTGGGGTACTTGTTTAAAAATCAAAACTAGTTTTGGGGCGCCTGGGTGGCTCAGTTGTTAAGCGTCTGCCTTCAGCTCAGGTCATGATCCCAGGGTTCTGGGATCGAGCCCCGCATCGGGCTCCCTGCTCAGCGGGAAGCCTGCTTCTCCCTCCCCCCTCCCCCTGCTTGTGTTCCCTCTCGCGCTGTGTCTCTCTCTCTCTCTGTCAAATAAATAAATAAAATCTTTAAAAAAATCAAAACTAGTTTTGATTCTGATTTCTGTGCCCAATATCACTGAAACCATGATATTAGAGAGAAAACATTCAGTCTTTCATCCATAAGCTGTAGGTTTTTCATAGATTCCCTTTATGAAGTTGAGGAAGTTCTCCTCTATCCCCGTTTTGCTGAGTTTTGATCAGGAATGGATGTTGTCAAATGCTTTTTATAATTTATCTGTTGACATTATTATATGGCTTTTCTTTTTTCAGTTTGTTAATGTGGTAAATTACATTGATTGGTTAATTTTTAAATGTCAAACCAGCCCTATATTCTTGGAATAAGCTTCAAGTAATCATGATATATTTTCCTCTTCGTTTTTTAAGATGTATTTATTTTAGAGAGAGGAAGAGAGGACCTGCACGCAAGCACAAGCATGTGCGCAAGTGAGTGGGGGGAAGGGCAGAGGGAGAGAATCTTCAAGCAAACTCCCCACTGAGTGTGGAGCCTGACATGGTCCAATGTCATAGCCCTAAGATCATGACCTGAGCCAAAACCAAGAGTCAGATGCTCAACCAACTGAGCCACCCAGGCACCCCCATACATTTTCGTTTTTATATATTGGATGTGATTTGTTAAATCTTGCTTTCAAATTTTTGCATCTATGTTAATGAGGAATATTAGCTGGCCATTTTCTTCTAATGTCTTTAACTGGATTTGGCATCAGGGTAATGCTGGCCTCAGAGAACAAAGTTGAAAGTTTGTGTAGAATTATACTTTCCAGAAGAGCTGGTATAGAATTGGTGTTATTTCTTTCTTAAATGTCAGGTAGAATTCACCAATGAGGACATCTGATCCTAAAGTTATCTTTGTAATAAGGTTTTTAACTACAAAGTAAATTTTTAAAAGATATAGGGCTTATCAGGTTATCTATTTTTTCTTGACTGAGCTTTGGCAATTTGTGTCTTTCAAAGAATTTGTCAGTTTTGTCAAATTCATAGACAAAGTGTTATTCATAATATTCTCTTATTATCATTTTGATATCTAGACTGTAGTGATATCAAATTTCTCATTCCTGATATTGATAATTTTGTTTTCTGTTTTTCCTCAACAGTCTGGCTAGAAAAAATTTTGCCAATTTTATTGATCCTCTCAAAGAACAGCTCTTAGTTTAGTTTATTGCTTTTCTGCTATTTCATTGATTTCCACTTTGGTCTTTTTTATTTCCTTTCTTCTTACTTTGTGTTTAGTTTGCTCTTTTTCTAGTTTTTTAATTTGGAATCTGAGATCATCAATTTGAGATCTTTCTTCTTTTCTAATATAGGTAGTTAGCTCTATAAATTTCCTCCTAAGAACTACTTTACTGATATCCCACAAATTCTGATATATCATATTTTCATTTCCATTTGGTTCTAAACAGTGTCTAATTTCTCTTTTTGATTTTTTCTTTGACCAATGAGTTATCTAAAAACATGTTATTTCATTTCCAAATACTTGAGGATTTTTCAGAACTCTTTCTGTTATTGGTTTCTAAGTTAATTCCATTGTGATCAGAGAATATATTTTGTCTGATTTGAATCCTTTTAAATGTATTGAGGTTTGTTTTATGGCTTAGAATATAGTCTATCTTGGTGAATGTTCTGTGTGTACTTGAAAAGAATGTGTATTCTGCTGTTGTGTGGAGTGTTCTATATATGGCAAATAGGTCAAGTTGATTGATAATATTGTTCAAGACTATTATATTCTTGATGATTTTCTGTTCATTTATTCTATCAGTTATTGAGAGAGGGGTTCTAAAATCTCTATAATTGTGATTTTATCAACTTCTTACAGTTCTGTCAGTTTTTGTTTCTTGTATTTTGAAACTCTGTTATTAGGGTCATAAATGTTTAGAATTGTTATTGATCACTTTATCATTATGAAATGACATTCTGTATTCCTGGTAATATTCTTTACTCTGACATTTGTCCAATATTAAAACAGCACACCTGGGGTGCCTGGCTGGCTCATTTGGTAGAGCATGCGACTCTTGATCTCAAGATCTGGAGTTCAAGTGTCACATTGGGCCTAGAACTTACTTTAAATAAGAAATAAATAAAAATAAAATAGTATGCCTGCTTTCTTGACTGGTTATTGGTATGATATAGCTTTTGCAACTCTTTAACCTGTTTCTGCATTTATGTTATGTCTTAAAGTGTTTTTCTACAGGCAGCAAATAATTGGATCTTGCTTTTTTGTCTGATCTGCCAATTTCTTTTAATTGGAGTATTTAGACCATTTATATTTAATGTGATTATTAATACAGTTAAGTTTATGTCTATAGAGATTCTCAAGGCAGTAAGCTGGGGCAATTGAAGGGCTCATCTCTGTCCTTTAATGCTTGATATTCAGTATTTCAAAACCATTGTTTCATATATTTTGTTTTATTGTTGTTGTTTCAGCAAGAGGGTAAATCCAGTTCCTGTTACTGCATCTTTGGCAAAAGGGGAAGTCTGGAAACCTCTCTTAATGAGTAGTTGAATAATCTTAAACCTATAAGTCCTTTACCTGTCTCATACATAGTTTTGTTAAGGGTGAAAATTGCCCTGAATTCAAAACAACTTAGGCAATATAGACTAGTGATGTTGATACTTATAAATGTAATTTTGTGGTTTCTGAGACCAACACATTTTTTAGATAACATTTGATAAAATCCACAGATAGAAATTTCACATGACTTTTCAGATTTGGTGAGTATCATGTCATAAAATACTTCAGGTATAATCCAAGATCATTTCATCTTTCAAACTGTAAAATATTTTAAACTTCCCATTAAAAAAATTAATTTTAAAGGTTATAAAAAATATTAGAGGCCAACTTAATCCCAGTGTGGGAGGAAGTATATAGTATTTCAAAATCCTCTTAGGATGGTATGTGAATTGTTTCTTTTTTAATTGAAGACAACTGTTCTAAAATGATTTTGGGGGGTGCCTGGGTGGCTCAGTCAGTTAAGCATCTGAGTCTTTGTTTCAGCTCAGGTCATGATCTCAGAGTCGTGGGATCAAGCCCTGCATTGGGCTCCATGCTGTGTGGAGTCTGCTTAAGATTCTCTCTCTCCCTC